ACAAAAATTTGCTGGGCATGGTGGCACACACCTGTAATCCCAGCTACTCAGGAGGCTGAGGCAGGAGAATCGCTTGAACCCAGGAGGCGGAGGATGCAGTAAGCCGAGATCTTGCCACTGCACTCCAGCCTGGCAACAGAGCAAGACTCTGTCTCAAAAAAAAAAATAAAAAAAAAAAGAAAAAAGGAAGTTATCCAAGGGGCATATGGCTCTGTAGGACTCTCCCTTATATTACCGTGGTCAGACTGGCTGGGTGCATTAGAATCTTTATGGCTCCCTTCCAACAGCTCCCCACTGCCCCCACCACCCCCCAACTCCATTCCTCTTGAGAAGAAAGGGGAGTACTGCTCTGCACGCCCTGCTCTGCTCAGCTGCCTCTGATTTCTGTCTGAGTTGTTCAAACTTTAGGGCTTGTTTATGGATTCTCCCAGGGGCTGTGAGCTCCCGAACACTGTCCTTTCTCTTTTTATTTATAGGCCTTTGTTGAATGAATCAAAAATTGCTCCTTTCCTTTTCCTTCATTTCTTCCTGTCTTCCTTTCTCTCTTCATCATTTATTAATCATTCACTGTTGGTTGTGTCTCCTAAATGCCCCAGAATGAAAATCCCTGACCTACCTCTGCCAAGGTTCATTTTTTATTTTTTATTTTTTGAGACGGAGTCTCGTTCCGTCGCTCAGTGGCGCGATCTCGGCTCACTGCAACCTCCACCTCCCGGGTTCAAGCGATTTTCCTGCCTCAGCCTCCTGAGTAACTGGGACTACAGGCGCATGCCACCATGCCTGGCTAATTTTTTGTATTCTTAGTAGAGATGGGGTTTCACCGTGTTAGCCAGGCTGATCTCGATCTCCTGACCTTGTGATCCACCCGCCTCGGCCTCCCAAAGTGGTGATTTACAGGTGTGAGCCACCATGCCCAGCCCTCTGCCAAGGTTCTTAAGCCATACATGCATGTTCTCTTCCTATCTGATTACTTTTTGACCTGCCATGGCTAAGAGGCCTAACCAGCAAGTGGGAGCCAGGCCTTCTTACATCACCGGCTGCAAGAAAGTGAAAAAAGTGTCCGTCCCTGTCTGCTAGAACAAACAACAAACCATTCCTCCTTTTCCCCACCTGGGACTGCACTGGCCCTTCTGGGCTTTCCAGTGGGGAGGACAACTCATTAGGAGGAGGAAATCCACTCTCGACTATCGCCTTTGGTGGCAGAGATGAATAAAAAAGGTTTTGCTTCTCCTTTGGAGTAATGGAAGCTCGACCCTTACTACTGTGACCTACAGCATGTCCTTGAGGATCACATTTGTCTTTGAATAGACCCAGACCTCTTCCCTGGGGGCAGGCTACCATTGTCTGTTGTTGTGTGTAAGGAGATGTGAGGGTGTTTGGCAGGGATGGTGAGTGGGGACTATAACATTGAGAAACCCTGGGCTGTTCCCAAAGTGAGGCAGGAGAATAGAGTCCGGAGGCAGGGAACCTAAGGCAGATTTAGGCTGACTTCCTAGAACTAAATCAAAAGGAAAACGCAACTTTGCAAGCCCCTCCCTCCTTTTCCTGCATGGCAGACAGAAAATTGCAAGTACCTCTGATTGGTTGCTTTCCACAACCAATCAGATGTTTGCATAGGAATGCAACTTTGTAACTTTGCTTCAGCCTCTGATTGTGGACCACTACTTCATTTGCATGGGGTGTACACCATGGCCAATGGGAAACCACTAGAATGTATTTAAGCTCCAGAAAATTCTGGAACTGGGGCCTTGAGCCCCTATGCGAAGGCCCACTCCCACCATGTGGAGTGTACTTTTATTTTCAACAGATCTCTGTTTTGGTGCTTCATTCTTTCCTTGTTTTGTTTGTGCATTTTGTCCAATTCTTTGTTCAAGATTTCAAAAACCTAGACACCCTCCACCAGTAACAAAAGGAAGAATCCAAGGACCTTATTGGCTTTTTTGAATGAGGTCCTTGGATTCTTATTAATATGGAGCAGTAGGTCTCCATGATATTAATTAGGATAAAATAAAACCAACATGGCCAAACCTTTGTGCTTTTAAATGTCCTTATAGATTACATAATGAAAATACCTATTAGCCTTTGACTTGAAATGTTTTATTCTAGTAAGTCACCTTCACACTTTCCTCATACAGAGTGATCTAGATGAACTCCTACAATGTGGCAGCCCTTTGCTTTGTGCTGGTGATACTATGACGAACAGCCCACGTTCCTGCCTTCAGGAAACTGAAAGGGAGCCAACTCTCAGAACTGCAGCAAGGTTAAGGGCCTGGGCAGCTGTACTGTGCATTTGGTATTATAGTAATAGTAACAAGACAACCCTCTAAAGACTGTGTCTGAAGTCAGGCAGAGCTGTTTATAAATCCTGGCATCTGCAACCTCTCTTGGGCAAACTGCCTAACTCCTCTAAAATCTTACCGGTAAGATGTGGATAAGAAATTCTACCTAGGCCAGGAACGGTGGCTCACGCCTGTAATACCAGCACTTTGGGAGGCCGAGGCAGGTGGATCACCTGAGGTCAGGAGTTCAAGACCAGCCTGACCAACATGGCAAAACCCCGTCTCTACTAAAAATACAAAAATTAGCGGGGGGTGGTGGCGGGCGCCTGTAATCCCAGCTACTAGGGAGGCTGAGGCAGGAGAATCGCTTGAACCTGGGAGGTGGAGGTTGCGGTGGGCCGAGATCATGCCACTGTACTCCAGCCTGGGCAACAAGAGTGAGATGCCATCTCAAAAAAAGAAAAGAAATTCTGCCTCATTGTGGTGTTGTGGGGACCAGTAAATAAAGTAATATCACCTAAGCCTGATGTCTTCCATAAAAAGGGCACACATAATTGACAGCTATGGTTATTATTGCTTTGATTACTAATGCTTGGTTACCTAAGACACTTCCAAGTAACTTCATTCCCTTCATAACCCTTTCCCAGGATTATGAGAGAGAACAGCAAAACTGTTTCCTTATCCTTATCTTTCATATTGTGCTGTTCATATTGCATGACTGCTTATATAATTGACAGTCCACAAATTTCAAAAAAAACTACGTATATCTGTGTGAATATCTTTGCAGATAATTCTAAGTGAGAGAATCAGATTTTAGAGGGGAGGTCAAAATACCTCCATTCCATTGTGAAAAATTCATAACAATATTCTGAATACCACGGATTTAAAATCTATCACTGTCCTGGAAAGGTTAACTTTCTTTTCTTTACCTTTATTTCTATGACATTGTTCTTTTGGCCCTGTCTCCAGTGTTACTTTATAACACGTTATATTTCTGCTCAGTGGATTGCTACAGTGATGTTGGTACATGTTCTAAAGGGATATATAGTATCATGCACTAAATGGACTAGTCCATGCACCTTTGTTCAGCACTGGAAATTTCCCAAGTCTATTCATTCATCCATTCATGCAACAAATATCTGTGGAATTCCTCCCATGAAAAGCCATCATGTGAAAGTGTTACAGTTGATTGAAGGATCATTGTCAACAATGAAAATGTTTGCCTGCCTGCTGGGGCAAGAGACCTAAAGAAGTATAATGCAGAAGATGACAAGGAGCTGTAGGGGAAGCCAAGGGCTCAGGGGTCAGAGAGGGCTGTATTCAAGTCTCACCTCTCTCACTTTAACTGTGTGACTCTGGGAAAAAGCTTAAGCTCTCTGAACTTCATCATTTTCATCTTCAAAATGTGGATCTTCCATCATTCATTCAACAACCATGTCGCCTTTGTGCTAGGTACATCTCCCTGTCATTTATTTATGCTCTTGTTAAATTCTCACTACAGTTCTCTAAGGCATCTAGACAGTAGTTCCTCAACAGATGCTATTTTATCGACCCTGTACTTTTAATGAACATATTAATTCAACAAACTCTGCGCGTCTGCTATGGGCCATACCCTGAGCCAGGAGACACATGACTTTAAGAAAAAAAGAGTTAAAAACTGTGGCTCAAGCTTCTCGGTCTGGTTGAGGACACACCCATAAACATAATTATGCAATGGAATCATTATAACAGCTCTGTGCACAGAAAATCGTTGGACACAGAAGTGGGACACGTAGCTCACCTGGGCCAAGGGGGTGGGAACGGGGAATAAGGTGGGTGACGCCTGAGCTGAAGAGAGTAGGATGAAGGAAGAGGACTCCGTTTCTCTGCCAGAGTATGCAAATACAGAGGAGATGAACAGATCTCCTCTGTTCATCTCCTCTGCAGAGCAGGTTAGCGATCTGCAGAGCAGGTTCATCTGCTCTGCAGGTTCATCTGCTCTGCAGAGCAGGTTAGCGATTCTGAAGTTCAAGGGTCAAAATAAGGAATGAGCAACAATGATGTAACAGGTGAGCCCAGCTCAGAGAGGCACATACTACAGATGTGTTTCCAGGTTGTCTCTGAGTACTGAAAGATTGTTAAGTGTTCCAGGGACCTTTTTGCAGTAGCAGTGGCTCCCCAGGAATTCATCTTGACAAAATAAAACCAATATGGCCACCCCTTCATGTTCTTAAATAGGTTCTTACAAATTACATCATGAAAACGGCTATCGACTTGTAATTTTTTTCTCATTAGTCAGTTCTTCCTCAGACAGGATAATCTGGATGAGCCTAATTCCTCTGGCTAGGATTTTTAAAATCATGTTGGCATTTGGGCTGGTTCCTGTAGCTGGTTGGCACAACCCTCTAATAATATCAAGATGGTGCTTTGTGTGCCTGACTGCTTCTAGAAGAGGGTGACCCACTGCCCCCCAACGCGGGCCATTCACTGTACCACTGACTCAACCCACTCACTGTACCACTGACCCAAACCCAATTCAATGGCTACCCAAAGCAGGACCAGGGATGAGATTTGACCGACTGCAGACCCAGAACCACCACGGCTAGAAAAGCAGTATAACCATGAAAAAGAAATTTCTGCCAAAACATTTGTGGGCTAAGATTACACACAAGTACGTTTGAGACTAGAGGAGTCGAAACATAAATAAACTGTGGAAAGGAGCATGCTAACGCAGAGTGGGACTCCTAGAAATGTGAATTTATTCTCTTTGCCACCCAGGGGAGCCAGAGACTCATGAAAATCTTACACAAGCTGTCAAAGTTACGAGCCAGGGCAGGGAAAAACAGTATATTAGTTTGGATTTTTGCAGTTGCAGGTAACAACAACAACAAAAATCAGCCAACCAACAAAACAAAACAAAAATAGGAATTTACTGATTCACATAATTTGGAAGTTTTAGGGGTATCTAGTTTAGGCTCAGCCATATCCAGCAGCTCAAGTGACATCCTCAGGACTTTCTCTCTGCCCATCTCTCAGCTAAACTCTGCTCTGCTCTGCTTCCCTTCTCAGATGGGCCTTCCTCATACAGGGGCAAAGGCAGACCTTGCAGCTCCAGGGTAACATAGTTCTTACTGTAAGAGAGTCACAAAGATACAATCAGTAATTAGACTGGTAGTAGAGGCAGGTATTATGACCCAAACCCTTGCTTGATCAAACGGGGAGGAAAAGTGAAGGGGAAGGGGCACTGGCCTCAGCAGACTGGGAGCCACAGAGGTGGTGGGTGGGGACACAGGCAACGTGAGAACAGAACACAGCGCTTTCAGTAATTTCTTCCCTTTCTTCAGCAGAGCCTAAGCCACTAAATCTCTGACAAGTAAGTCCTGGTGAATGGGGCACAATTTTTGTTCTATTAGAAGCGCAAGTCGGCTGGGCCTGATGGCTCACACCTGTAATCCCAGCACTTTGGGAGGCCAAGGGGGGCGGATCACGAGGTCAGGAGATCAAGACCATCCTGGCTAACACGGTGAAACCCCGTCTCTACTAAAAATAGCAAAAAAAAAAAAAAAAAAAAAAAATTAGCCGGACGTGGTGGCGGACGCCTGTGGTCCCAGCTGCTCTGGAGGCTGAGGCAGGAGAATGGCATAAGCCCGGGAGGCGGAGCTTGCAGTGAGCCGAGATTGCGCCACTGCATTCACTCCAGCCTGGGCGACAGAGTGAGACTCCATCTCAAAAAAAAAACCACAAAAAACGAACTAAAGCAGAGTAAGGGGGCAGGTGGTACAGGGAATGGTGTGTGTGTGCGTGTGTGCGTGTGTGTGTGTGCGTGTGTGTGTGTGTGTGTGCATGTGTGCGTGTGTGTGTGCGTGTGTGCGTGCGTGTGTGTACGTGCATGTGTGTGCGTGTGTGTGCGTGTGTGTGCATGTGTGCGTGCGTGTGTGTGCGTGTGTGTGTGTCTGCGCGTGCGTGTGTGTGTGCGCGTGTGTGTGTGCGTGTGTGTGTGCGCGTGTGTGTGTGCGTGTGCGTGTGTGTGTGCGCACTCCTACTTTAAAGGAGGTGGTAACCAATGAGCAGAAGCCTGAAAAGAGTGAAGGAGTGACGTGCAGATAACCTGGGGAGAGGGATTCTAAGCAGAAGGGAAACATGCAGAAGGCCTGGGGTCAAAGCCTGGTTGGCATGTTCTTTGAGTAGCGAGGAGGCCTGTATGCCCTGAATGGAGAGGCAAAGGCAAGTGTGATAGGACAGGGGGTGAGAGAGGGCAGTTGGGGTCATCTAAAACCACCTAAGTCCTTGTAAGACAGAGCAAATCTTTTATTTGCCTCTGAGCGAAATGCAAAGCCATTGGAAAGCTTTTAGCAGAGGAACGATGTGATATTCATGATTCTCCAAGGCTCACTCTGGGTACTGCATGAAGTCCAGAGCAGTGCTGCCCAAGAGAAACATAATGTAAGCCACAAATGCAAGTTGTATGTGTCATTTTAAAAGTTCCTAGTAGCCACATGAAAAAGTAAAAAGAAATGGATGAAAATAATTTTAATATATTTGACTTAACCTAATATATCTAAATTATTAACAGTTCAGCATATAATCAATATAAAATTATTGAGATATATATATATATATATATTTTTTTTTTTTTTTTTTTGAGACAAAAGTATCGCTCTGTCTCCCGGGCTGCAGTGCAGTGGCGCCATCTCAGCTCACTGCAACCTCTGCCTCCTGGGTTCAAGCAATTCTCCTGTTTCAGCCTCCCAAGTAGCTGGGATTACAGGTGCCCACCACCATCCATCCCTGGCTAATTTTTTTTGTGTTTTTGGTAGAGATAGGGTTTCACCATGTTGGCCAGGCTGGTCTCAAACTCCTGACCTCAGGTGATCCACCTGCCTCAACCAAAGTGCTGGGATTATAGGCATGAGCCACCGCACCCAGCCTATATTTTTTGTTAACATACAGAATCTTTGGAATCTGGTGTGCATGTTACTCTTACTGCACATGTCAATCCAGAATCATCACATTTCAAAGGCTTAACTCCCCAACTCCACTTGTTACCATATGGTACTACAGTACAGGTTCACACTATAGGGGGGCCGGGTGAACATGGGGTCCCCAGGAAAGATGCTCTTCACTGGTCCAGATGACAGATAATGACGAGGCTAAGGGCAAAAGCACTCCAAGGGTGACCAATTCATTAAAAAATAGCTTCTCCTAAGGCGTAGGGTACAACTTGCTGACTCTCACCCCTGCTCCCTGCAGGGAGATGAAAGAGCCCGACTGGGAACAGCTCCGGGCATACCTGTGACAGCCATACTGGAAGAAAACAGTCTGAAAGAACTCAGCTGGCTTAGAGCTGCCGTCCATCCTCATCACGCTCCACACTTCGGAGGCTCTGCCACCTCTTCATCCTCCCACCCACTACATGATAATTCATGTAGAGCTTGACCTAGGGCAGCAGCACTCTTCCACAAAGTGTCCTCTGAGGAGAGGGGAGGGGAGGAAGCCCTATTTTTCCCTGGAAGCCACAATTTCCTCATTTCTGTTCTTGGCTTTGTAAAACAATTACATTTGAGAAGTCAACAACTAAATTTGTTACATGAGAATGCCTTATGTAACAGACTGCAACCTAGTTTAGTACTTAATCTAACTGAAAGCCTAATTTAAGAGTATACTCTTGTAACAAATTGCAGTGTCTCAGCAAGTCACAGCAGCTGAACTTCAGCCAATCACAGGTGGCAAAGGACTCAAAGAAGGCGAAAGGCGAGCTGTAGACAATTAAGCAGCCTCTCTGCCTCACTTCCGTTTTCTGTCCATAAATGCTGCCCCACCACATTGTAGGCCAGGGTTCTTAGCGCTTGTCTGGCTCTGAGGGCTGTCCTATTGGAGAACTGCTCTTTGCTCAAGCAAAGTCAGTTAAATTTAACTTGTCTAAGGTTTTTCCTTTTAGAGCTTGTTAACCCCAATGCACTGGATGAACAAGCAGAGTCCCACCAACTTTCTGTTGCTCTCCAGAGGAAAGCTTAGAGGAGAATTCCGAGTGCCCATTCTAGGGCCACATTATAATTTTCATGAACCCTTTCCTCCATTGAGAAAAAAATACATATATGTGTGTTTACTATTGGGCTGGTAAATTGATGTCTATACTAATATATTTAAAAAATTTCGGCCGGGTACAGTGGCTCATGCCTGTAAACCCAGCACTTTGGGAGGCCGAGGCAGGTCACCTGAGGTCAGGAGTTCCAGACCAGCCTGGCCAACATGGTGAAACCCTGTCTCAACTAAAAATATAAAAGGTTGGGTGCGGTGGCTCATGCCTGTAATCCCAGCACTTTAGGAAGCTGAGACGGGTGGATCATCTGAGGTCAGGAGTTCCAGACCAACCTGCCCAACATGGTGAAACCCTGTCTCTACTAAAAATACAAAAATTAGCCCGCTGTGGTGGCGTATGCCTATAGTCCCAGCTACTCGGGAAGCTGAGGCAGGATACTCGCTTGAACCCGGGAGGCAGAGGTTGCGGTGAGCCAAGATTGTGCCACTGCACTCCAGCCTGGGGATCAGAGCAAGACTCTGTCTTGAAAAATACTACTAATAAAAATTTTTTAAAAATACAAAAATTAGCCAAGTGTGGTGGTAGGCGCCTGTAGTCCCAGCTACTCAGGAGGCTAAGGCAGAATTGCTTGAACCCAGGAGGCGGAGGTTGCAGTGAGCTGAGATCGGGCCATTGCACTCCAGCCTGGGTGATAGAGCAAGACTCTGTCTTTAAGGAAAAAAAAATTCAATATGAAAGTTGTTTTTTTTCCTTTTTTCTTTTTCTTTTTCTTTTTTTTTTTGAGGCAGAGTTTCGCTCTTGTTGCCCAGGCTGGAGTGCAGTGGCACGATCTCATCTCACCGCAACCTCCGCCTCCCATGTTCAAGCAATTCTCCTACCTCAGCCTCCCAAGTAGCTGGGATTACAGGCATGTGCCACCACGCCCAGCTAATTTTGTATTTTCAGTGGAGACAGGGTTTCTCTGTGTTGGTCAGGCTGGTCTCGAACTCCTGACCTCAGGTGATCCACCCACTTCGGCCTCCCAAAGTGCTGGGGTTATAGGCATGAGCCACTGCGCCCGGCCTTTTTTTTCTGATTTTAAAAGAACATATTGTCAGGAGCCCCTAAAAGAATTACAAACCCTAGGTACTGTGCCCGCCATGCCTAATAGAGAAGTTGGCCCTGACCCTTTACATAGTTGCCCTCCCCATCCTTTCTGTGCTGCTTCCGCCCTCCCGAATCAGTAAAGTGGGCATTTGAGCCCCTTGAGGACTTTATGAACGTCTCTTAGATGTGGCTCCAGAGACCCCTAAGGTGGATCGAGACAAGGCATTCATTGTTATACTTGGAGTCCCACTCTGCAACAGGCTGAGAGGTCATCTATAAACCATTTCAATGCCCAACTATGTTTCATAGAGAGCACTGGTATGAATCCAGTCGAAGTAATACAATGCTCTGTATGTGACTTTGTGTCACATATGGTATTTTAACTTTATGGACTCTGATTTTTTCTCACAGAAAAAATTAAAATGGAAGAGACATACAAATGATGTACTTTTTCCATTTTCCCCTATTCTAGGCAGTCTAGCCAGAGAGTCTCAGGTGCCTGGTAGTCTAGATTCTTGATTTAATGGCCCACCCTGAGCTATTAGCCACTTCAATTAATATAACTCCTTCAAGGCCGCGTGTGGTGGCTCATGCCTGTAATCCCAGCACTTCCAGACCAGCCTGGGCAACATGACAAAACCCCGTCTCTACAAAAAAAAAAAATTGGCCAGGCACGGTTGCGCACGCCTGTAGTCCCAGTCATTTGGAGTGCTGAAGCAGGAGGTTTGCTTGAGCCTGGGAGTCCAGGCTACAGTCACCACCTTCACTCCACACCACTGCACTCCAGCCTGGGTGACAGAGCCAGACCCTGTCTCAAAAAATATGTATATATAACTCCTTCAATTCACTTATACTTTTGTTCTCCTTACAGGCACGTTGTGTGGTAGCACTTTCCATTTAAATTTCTGCATGGCTATGTGATGTCCTTTGGTCACTAGAAGGTGAGTAGAAACGTGCTGTGTTACCTCTTGGTGAAAGTCTTTAAGGCAGTGTGCAATTATGTTCTCTTTACCTGCCTTGGGTCCACCATGTTTCGGATGGTGCAGGCAGAGGCCTGTGTCTCTGAGAAGCCAAAGTCCTGACTGCCTGAGATGAATATGTCCTGTGAGCAAAAAGTAAGCCTCTTTTCCAAAGATTTATTTGACAATGAAGCATAACCTAACCCAAAACACTTCCATGGTTGCATTTCTTCATTTCCAGGTCTCTTTTGTGTCTCACTTTCTGAAGTTCTTGGGGTCAATGTAGAAGATAAGAATGCAACAGCACCCATTAGATTGTAATGCTATTTATCCATATGCAGTGGCGTGCTTGTGGTGACCTTTTCTATGAAAGGATGAACACCCCCTTGCTGTTGAATTCACATGTGGCCATGCAACTTACTATGGCCAATGAAATGGAGCAAAAATGATATGTAATTTGCTGTGTTTTCCCCCTCCCCCATAGCAACTTTTAAAGTCTCAGGAAGAGGCTGCTATGTCATCCTGGGTCCTAGAGTCAAGGTGACATGAGCAGAACTACACCTGGCCCTTGATGGTGATGTAGGGTAAGAGAGAAACACATCCTTATTATGTAAGCCTCTGAGAGTATGGGCGTCATTTGTCACGACAACCTGGTATGTAACACAATATCAAACCCACAAAATTTAGGAAACCCAAGTAAATCACAGAACTGAATATCCATGTGATGAGCATTCTCACAGAAGTGAGGCCTGCTGGCCTGATTGGTTAGGTTTAACACCTTCCTGGACCTGTGCTCTGCTACTTGTCCTAAAGATCAGGACTAACGTCCTGTTTGACTTCCGGCCTCCACAGGGCCTTGCTCCGAGGCAGTGTATCATTCCTGTTTATTTGACTACCTGGATAGGTGGACTCTCTTTGCATGCAGACCCAGCCATGTAAGATTTAGAAGGGAAGGAATAAAGAGCAAGATACTTCACTCAAGCCTCCTGACCTCCACCATATTGATTCAGCTTAACTATTCATCTGGCAATAGGGCCTACCTAGTTATTGATCAAGCAGTATTTGGCTACTGTTCCTTGGTTGTGTGACACTTAGGAATAAACCCCCAGAGGGAAGATTGAATGAGTCGTCTGATTACCCCAAACCCCAGCGCAGACCTGGACTCCTGTAACTAGACACAGTCTACAGCCAATGTCCTTATCAGTTTCCCAAACGAAAGCAGCATTCCAAACACACAGCGTGTGTATTCGCCCATGTTATTGTTACAGAGTAGCCCTTAGCAGAAATTTAATGTTGTCTTGAGGGACAAGTGAACAGGGAATAAAATAAAGAATAAGTACTCAGTTAAGACGCTTTAGAGACCTATTTCAAATTACTCTTTTTTCAAATTAAAAAAATAAAAGAGGTTATGCTTTGGGGATTAATTTTAGGGATGCTGAGTAATGAAGCTATAGAGCACAGGGCAGAGCCAAGACACATCCACCCAGCTTCGTCCCCACCAAGCAGTCACATGGTGAGCAAGCGAATAGGGCTGTCCTCATTGGACTCACATGCCTAATTATTAACACATTAATACATTGTTGCCTACGTAGCTCTGCTATCAGCAATACAACTTAAACAAGTGGGCAGAAAGCTGTGGAGGACCACAATATAAGAGTGTTTTTAAATGATTCTATTTTCTCCAAGTACTTCACAGTCAGACAATTCTCATAAGAAAAAGCACTGAGGCTTGAATGTCCAGACTGAATAGAATTTTCAGAAATGGGAATTGTGACTGTATAAAGTATATTCCTATTGGTTTTTTTTTTTTTCCTCTCTCTCTCTCTCTCTGATTCAAGACCTGCATGAATAACTGGGTTTTTGGCTTGTTTGGGCGAAGACTTTCACATTTGCAAATTAATGACCCAGTCCTAGCTGAGATGGTAATATCTAAATACTTCATTTAATAAACAAACCCATGTCTGGATTTTTAAAATAGCCGTAGACTATGGATTGGATTGTCATTCATTTGTGCTCTAAGGCATCAATCCGTGACTGACTGAAGAGGCAACCAAACTGAACACACGTGTCAGGACTGTTTTAATGAAGGAAAGGAATTCACTTGACTTTTAAACTGCAGTTATTCAGATAAGCCAGTCAAAACACCAACTTCTGCAATCTGTCACTACTAAGAAAATGATGAGAACTCAAAACTATCTATTTTAAAAAACTATTTCTAAGGGCCGGGCGAGGTGGCTCACGTCTGTAATCCCAGCACTTTGGGAGGCTAAGGTGAGTGGATCATCTGAGCTCAGGGGTTTGAGACCAGCCTGGCCAACATAGTGAAACCCCGTTTCTACTAAAAATACAAAAATTAGCTGGGCATGATGTTGCAC